AAATACCTCTGAATGATATGGACTCAAAAGTAAAGTATCACACGGATAAAAACTCTTCGTTGGAGTAAATGTACCTTCTTTTTTAAAAAACTTATCTTTGAAAAGATCAACGCAGTATTGAAGTATATTGCAGATCGGGTCTTTACATAACGAAACATAGAGGCAGCTTTGCCGCCAGTAGATGTCACAATGAGAGTAAAGTTGTTAAGGCAAACAAAAGTCCCAACAATGTCTCCATAAAAAGTCCTGTGAATAAGATGCCATTCAGAACAAGATGATCTGCGGACTAAGAGCTCCACAGACAAAATATGGCCGACTAGTTTAAAAGAAGCACCGACTAATTCCATGATGGCCTCCCCGCCTCCACCGCGGCGTCGTTGTAGGGGCCTTGGAATTACTCAGAGCTGAGATTTAATCAGATTAATTGCGCGTGTGGAGGCAGGGAGCCCATCAGAGGACCAAGCGGCGCTGCTCTAAATTCTGTCGGCCATATTTAGTCGGTGGATCAGATAGTTCTCTGTTAATCTGTTCTGAATCGCCTCTAAGGCCCCATTCAGAATAGGGGACTAACTGGTCCGAGGGTCAAATATGGCGACCCACTACAAAGCTTACCGTCTAATCCGCTAGTAGACACTGAATAAATATCCCGTGGGGAAGTATTCAAGTGGGTCGGCCATATTTGACCCTCGTACTAGTTATTCCCCTTTTCTGAATGGGACCTTAAGCCGAAACGGGTCACGTTGTCCAAGGGTGGATTCAGGACAAGTTGATCAGCGGAATAAGGGTGGATTCAGAACAAGTTGATCAGCGGAATAAGGGTGGATTCAGGACAAGTTGATCAGCGGAATAAGGGTGGATTCAGAACAAGTTGATCAGCGGAATAAGGGTGGATTCAGGACAAGTTGATCAGCGGAATAAGGGTGGATTCAGCACAAGTTGATCAGCGGAATAAGACTGCATTCAGAACAGATGATCCGCGGACTAACTGATCACGTGGTTTACCCATTTTCCTTCTAGCATCTTCACCATAAGAATCGTCCATTTTATTCTGTCGATCTAATATTCAACATTTCTTTGTTAAATATACATATTAAACTAGCCAGGATTACAAAAAAGCACACACACACACACACACACACACACACACACACACACACACACATAACTTGTTTGTAGTTTGTAATGCTACTAAAATAAAGTCGACAGGCCATTTCACATACCAAATTAATCTCTCGTTCAGCCAAAAATAGCTTTAAAACTGGTCGTAAATTGTCCTATTTATCTGGCCTTCCAGTTCAATAAGAGTCCGTAGTATTGTGAGTGCATAGCATAATCACCACTCTCACTCCCTTGTATGGCTGTACACATGTATAGCGGCGCGTGCATCCTTATTCAAATGAGACCGTTAAGGAATATTTATAGCAGAAAAAAATCCGTTCATACATCAATTTTCGTGAGATATGAAACGATTTTCTTTGGTACTATTTCTCTAAGTTATACTGTTTGAAGCTATATGGTGTCATTAGGTCGGGATTTGCGACAAAAATTAACTTTATATTCCTCTGAAGTAAGCTCTTTAGCGCTTTGTCACGCCTTGTCTAAGTACAGGGTAAATATTTAAAGTTTATGATTTATTTCCCGCGACCATTGCACTACAGAATCAATTAACGAAATAAAATGACAAACGCAATATGTTGGTTGGTTGGTGTTTATTGTTGTCAAACCCCAATGAGATGTTTTAATTTTATTTTAACTTATTGACTTTGAATATAAAAGTGCGTCTGTTATTGACGTCATGAAAATTAATTTAGTTTTAGATCCTGAAATCAATCAGTTTACCCGATCTTTGTTACATCAATAAATTCCATTCTTGTCTTAACAAAATGGTTCCCGTATTACAGGTAATTGATTCCTAACAAAATTATTCTTCCACTTTAAAACTTTCAATAGTTAAGTTTATGGATTTTTAAAAATATTAATTAAAATCAAATTCAGATAATTTGCGATTGTAACCGTAATTTTTGTTTTGCAATATGACAAATTTACAACATTAAAGAAATAATATTTGAAATCTACAACTTTACAACATATAAAATTGCAAGTCAAATTGTGTAAATTGCTAATTTTAACCGTAAATCAGAAACCATAAATCCATTAATAATACGTGCAGTTGTATCATAATATTTTTCTTCTTTAATTTATGCTTAATAAATTATAAATAATGTATTTCAGATAATGTAAATTGTACATTTCACCAATCATCAAATGATTGATCAAACATAAGCAAATGCTCTGCGTACTATGAAAGATATACAAATACATTGCAACAAATTGGTAAGTTTCTGAAAATATTGATAACAGTCATTTTTGCATTTACATGAAACAAATGCATTACTTTTGGGAAATCATCGACCTTTGAAGCAATACATCATCTAATATTAATTTATATAATAGATAATTAACGTATCTGACTAAAAATTATTGCTTCGGCAAACAATTTCAAAGACCGTGTTCTATCAGAAAGTAGAAAAAAAAATCATGTCAGTTTCCCTGCCTCAGAACTTAATTACCACCGTTTCGTACTCACATTCCCAGATTTTATCAGAAACAGTGTTACAGGACTCTCATGGAAATCCTAGTAAAGCCAGGCAACCGACTTAAGTTTTTTGTAAAGATTTCAAGGCCTGTTACAACCTACATACGGGGCAAAAAAGGGAATCGGAATGCACCGTTCATTACTGGAAAGTTCTAAAGCTATCCTATTTTTCTTAGATTCGGAAATCCTTCTTACAAATCTTTATAAATCAAAAGATCAAAATTATAAAAAGCGTATTACAATCTGTAAAAGGAAAAACATGAAACGTTCATGAAAATGTGGCACAAGTAAAATTATACTTTTACATTGTTTCACTTACTTTTTCACTCGATAACCTTAACTCAGAAGCACTCAGAGAGTGCAAGCCTCCACCACGACAACCCAATTTTCAATTAATTAAATAAAGAATTGCCAAAAAAAAAAAAAAAAAAAAAAAAAAAAAAAAAAAAAAACATTTGATTCTAAGGTAGCCCATTTCTGACTTATCCTGAAAATTTTATGTAATTGGGACCATTACTTTTGAAAAAAAATCTCGATGGAAGAGGATCCGACGTCAACACAACTATTTCAGACGAATTTTGATGAATAATAATACCTTTACTATATTTAACTTTACTATAATTAAACAAATAGATTTATTTCACAAAAGATAAAAAGTAAAATATCCACGTGTTAATTGATTTAGCCAAAGTGGTAACCGATCCTGTATCTGTAATGCTCTTACCCATAGCTACATGTAAAAATCCCACACCGCTGCCACCATCACCATCAACATCAAAAGTCCAACGTTACCGATATGGATGTTTCCTCGGTTCTGCTTCGGGGTTGTGATCGGTGTCTTGCCAGAAAATGGCGGCACGGAGCTGTGGGTCGTGTTGTTCTTTGTGCACGCGGAGAACGATCCTAAACGTATACCGATAGGCCCTCCAGATATCTCCAACTGCACTTTTTGCAGAGCATTTTCCATCCATGCTTGCACTTGGTTAAACACGTTACGACCTTCCTCGTAGTGGGCTAGTGTCGTGTGAAGAGTGACCATTGTTTCAACGACAAAGGTGATGGACGTGTTATCCGCGCCGTGTTTCTGACTACAGAAAGAAACACGTGCCTGTACAGATTTCAGTACATCTGTTAATTGACGAGTACGCGCAATACCCATACAGCCATCTTTTGGTGATGGAGCCCAGCCACATGGTTCAAAATGTAAAGGGATGATGGACTTTACTACCGTAAAGTTGTAAAAAAGGGCGCGGCAGCCCTGGTCATCAGGGACAAAACCAGGGGGGCACATTACCTGCTGATCTAAAGACTGAAAAAAAAAAAAAAAAAAAAAAAAACAGGCACAATTAAGGACAGCAGTTTACATCCAGAAAAAAAATACTAACAATAATTACATTAGAAGATTAATATAACCATAGAGGGTAAGGATTAGAAAAGTGAAGATATCAAATATATTTATCTGCTATTATTATGATTATTGTTGTTAGTTTTCTCACCCTAATTATCCCGTCATCACTCTGTTTCCTGTCTTGGTCTCCCAGGTACAATAGGGCACGGAAAGAAAGACCGAAGAATCTCTCTGATGGCGGCGGGACATTCTTATCTGAAAAAAATCAATATAATGAATTAATTAGATGACATGTAAGCTTGCCAAACACTCAACAATGCGTTGTTCCACTAATCAGGTCTATGTAGTCTAAACTATTCGCTTTAGGAGGGCGGAGTCGAAATTAACACGTCTTTCATCTCGGGTTTCGTGAGTAAGATGTCACATCTTAGACGTTCAAAAGTGAAAACTTATTTGAATTGAAATTTCACCCTTATCCAATAATGTTATTTCCATCCTCATAAATTGAATCAAATGATAATGCACATGTTCAAATGAACTTAAACATTTTCGTTGAGGCTACGACGAGGGCGAAGTGGATAAACACACCTTTAGGCAACATATCAAATATAAGATAAACATAAATATTGGTAACATAGCAGCTCTAAGACTCAAGAAAATGTAAATATTATCATTAGAAAACTTGCATTTAATTTTGAAGGTTCAAAAAACTTGGACGTTGAGAAAATCAGGAAGGCGAGTTGACCATGCTAATAATTAACACCATCAATGTACGTTTCTGACATTTTCCATATGAATTTTCTAATAACCAAACGCAACACTCACCTCCACAGACGGTAAAACCCCCATAACAAAGCAAGCAGTGGTAGTTCTTGTAACTTTCATCAAAACCGCCTATAACAAGAGGGTTGTTGTACGCCATGCAGGCATCTCGTAAAGCTGAATGCAAGGGGAGTGGACGAGGCACATGGCGCACGCTTCCATTGATAAAATGGAACTTGCAAGGACCTAAGGCATCCTCCTCAGCTTCCCGGAAGCATGTCCTTAAATTCCATT